ATTACGACTGCCCAAGTCGAAGGAGCTCTGGCTACTTGGAATGCCACGGCGCATTCCATAAAACGCAGCGCGTTGAGACACGCTTCTCTAATTGTGGAGGCATACAATTTGGACCCACAAGTGATCTCGCTGTTGGCGAGGCACGTCGACCTGTTCGACCTTCCCCAGAATACTGTTCGATATTTGTGGAAGTACACCACAATGCTGACCCAGGTGCCGTCGCTGGTCGCATTGATGTGAAGGGAGAGACCGCGGAAGGGCAGTAACCCTGGTTGAAAGCAGAGTAGCGTTTTTCCATGGTTTTAATCACAATCATGCCGCCACAATTACGAGACGCGCGACAAGGACGCGTCTGGCCACTCCAAAAGATGAACGAACCATCCCGCTACAGCAGGTCAACGTACCCGTATTGAATCTGGAGTGGGTCAAGGGTCGGTTGAACCCGACTACCTTGGAGAGTCTCATGCAAGTTTGCGGACTCGTTGGGCGGTCCCCTTTTCCTCCGTCTTCTTTTACACCAGGCGAAAGCTCACGGAGGATTCCAACCGCTGACGCGCGATTATTGAGGGAGGCGGGAATAATCGAGGACGCTTCGTCCACAATAACAGGCGGATGGATAACGGCTTTTTGTTTGTGGAGGAGAAAACCGCCGGTTTACGACGACGATGGATTGCGTGGCCACGCGACAAGAACAGAGACGACCCTTATGAGGCTCATACTCCTCTTTTACACATTTCTTATTATTTGCCGCCTGTGATGGCTGAGGCCGCTTCCTGCCTGGAATTAAAGGCATCCTTTTTTCCAGTCTCTTTACCGCGGGAGATGCGGCGTCTCTTTCGATGCCGCGTGGAGGACGGCACGCCGGTGGAACTTACACGGCTCCCAATGGGATACAAGGTCAGTCCAGAAATTCTCCAGATTGTTATTACCTTGGCAATTGCGGGTGACGAAGGTAGTTCACCGCCTTTGGGCTGCACCTCCATTGGTGCGTGTCGACGCATGGATCGGTAATATACGCATTGCAGGGTCGAAAAGCGATGCGACATTGTGGGGAGCCCAAGTGCTTCGTAATGCGGACAGTTGTCACGCCACGATGGGGGGGACCGCGAATCGGGCGCTACGCAGTACACCTTCCTGGGGTGCATTTTGATCACACTCACCGGGCGGCGTCCCTGAGTGACAAGTTTTTCCGGTCTGTGCGCGCCATGCCGGCGCTTAATTCTTTAACCATCGCGGAAATGGAGGTTGTGGCGTCACGCTTTTTGTACGCGGCTGCCATTTTGGGCACGCGTTTATTTGACCACCACTTTTCCATCAAGGCAGTGCGACGACGATTATCCGCACTTGACCGGGGATTGTGCAGGAGACATCCCCGACGAACCTTCCGCCGGCAGCGGTTGGTTTGGGCGAGGGATTGCGACAAATCATCGAGAATATAATCGTAGGCGAAACGTCAAGCCCACGGAAAAGGCATCGGCCGCCGTCACGGATGCGTCGCTCAATGAATGGGGAGCCGTTTTTATTCCAGACTCCGGCGGCGTTAAAATTGCCGGAGGAAAATAGGGGAAGAGACCTTTTCTTATCATGCAGGCCGAGGCACGCGCGGTACGCTTGGCCTTATCGGCATTTTCCGCCATCTTGCCGTCCACCATGGACATTTGGGTGGACAACACTTCGCTGCGAGGAGCGGCGAATAAAGGCAGCCCGGAATCGCACGCCATCACGTGGGGGCTGCGACGGATATATGGGTTTTCGGACTCTCGCTGAGGGCAGGCATCCTTTGCCTACGTGCGGTCTGCAGAAAACCCCGCAGACGGCATATCACGCGGTCGTGTTTTTGCACCCAAGGCTTGACGAAGAGAAGCGGCGGGATCGCGTGGCTGGGAGAGCCCGAAATCCGGCGCCTCGCGAGTCATGAGGGCACGCACGCGGATATATATATATACGCACGTCAAATCCGAATGGAGGGATCACGCCGCGGCAGGGGCCACCACAACGCGCACACATAAATATGCACTCGCTCGGTGTAGGCGCTCATCGAGGTTCTGGCGAGCTCCGTCCCCACTCCGTTCACTCCTTCTCGTTCCCGTCCTGTGCGGCTCCTGCTGGCAACCGCGAGGTCCGGTCAGCGGCTCGGCAGCGTGCTCTTGCTTAAGGTGTTCGCGCGAAATAAAACCATGGGCCTTTGCGGGAGTCGAACCCGCGTCCCGGACGACATTGCGAGCGTGTTTGCCACCGGGCTAAAAAAATGCGGTCGCGCGACCCCTTTCCACGTAAGGTGTTGCTTTTGATCTTCGAACAATCGAGCGCATTTGCGCTGTCCCCTGGAAAACGAAAGCGACATGTTCAGGGCGTGTCGGGCGCGTTCCGGGGCTTTCTTGCACCGAACTCGCCTCACTTGCGTTTTCGCGGGTTGGGGGGCGCGGTCGGACAGCACAACGGGGGGATTGCCCGAGGAGTAATCTTCCGTCGCTTTCGGATTGTGGCCGTGCGCTGCGGGAAGATAGTTCAGTGGCAGAACATCAGATTGTGGCTCTGAATACCCGGGTTCGATTCCCGGTCTTCCCTTACTTTTTCGGAGTTTTTCCCCGAGGCGAAACCGCGTCATATTATGCACATTGGGCGGCCCCGCGATCCTCGAGAAAGGAGCCGCGAGCGGTGTGCGCCTCTTTTCG